CATGAAAATTTGGCTGTATTAATGGGGTGGTCAAAATTGAAGGGGTAGGGTCAAATTTCATGACTGGTTATTTGAAAGTGATGTCTTGATAGATATATTACAATATTACAACTGCACTTCTAAACAACTGTTCTTTTTACAATAAGCATTCAAAATGCAGATATCATTTTAAAAAATTGAAACTTCAGTCAGTACATACATGTACATGTTTTCTATATTTCTATTAGTACAATGGTTAAATGTTATTATTATTTTTAATCTACTATTTCTTTAGCTTTTGTAATTTTATTTTTGCAGGGCCCCACTGAAAACCACATGTATGTGAAGTGGGCTCCCTGTTGAAAGATCTTTATTATTATTATTATTATTATTATTATGTAGAGTATTATATGTGACCATGACAAAAAATTACCTTAACTGATTTGAGTGGTTGTATTTAATAAACCGGGTACAATTGTAAACTAAGGATTATACAGGTTGGGATTTCAGAACGTGGCCATTGGCTGTATTAATGGGGTTTTGTTATGAAAAAATGTATGGACGTTTCGCCAGGACGAAAAAATGTGGCTGTATAAACGAGGTGACCGTAAGGTGAGGTTTCACTGTAGCTTCACAGGGAAGTTCCATCTAGAAGGGATCCTAACCCAACCTAAGTGACTTTCAGGACTTGAAGTTATCTTTTTAGTCCACTAGAAAAGTTAATTTACTAGTAAGGATTTTTTTCTACTAGCAAACCCTTGATGCACTGTTACTGTCCCTTTAGGGTGACTTAAAACCAAGGGTTTCATAACAGCTGGGAAGCGAGAAAATTGACTGGCTGAGCGGATGGTTTTGCCTTCCTGTTTGACTATCTAGAGCACAGTTTTTCTTATAAAGAAGTTCAGCTCAAAATATTTTGCCTGGCTGTAAAAACCAGTTGCCCTCCTACTGAGAATGTTGATGAAACCCCTGTAAATCTAAGATATAAAGTGTTCTCTCTGGTTGATCCTAACTTCAAAGTCTTATTCTTTGGTAGCTCAAGGGCCATTTGAGGAGGGAAGTTATCTTTATTCATGCATTCACAACAAAAGCTACTTTCAAGTCCCATCAAGACTATGAGAATTAACAAAATGAAAATGTAAGGATGTACAACATTTAAACTTTATTTAAAACTGGTGACCAGTACGTAACACAAAACATACTCCTTGCAGTTCCTGCTCTTTGTCTCAGATGTTGTTCATAATTTTATTAGTTTTCTTGAAATATTTTGAGACATGTATGCATGAGTCTTAGTTGCAAATATTTGCCAGTATATTTTTGTTTTACAGTCGAACCTCGATTATC